CGTAGAACCAATCGGGTCCAAATGCAGTAGCGAAATCGAGCTGACAATGTTCTATAGCCCTGCGGCAGTTAATGAACGCGGGCTATAGCCTATAGTACTAGAGCTACTGTGGACTTAAACCGACCAGGCTCTCCGACTGTTACACGTCGTAGGAGCCTGACACCCTTCCATACGAAATGCCTGGTAGCTTAAAAACAAACTCCGAATTTCGTAAATAAAACAATGCATTATCACATTTGACCTCACCTGTTACATGTTTGCAACTATCGCATCCCTTCTTAATTACTATTTACCTCGAAATACACGTTAAAATAAGAGAATTTCGAACAGCTATACTATTTGAACGTTGTAAAACGCCATATTGGATGTTCTTATGTCTCTTTTTGTACTGTTTGCAATGTATTTTTTGCTACGTATGATGTGATATCTATGGGAAAATGGCCGTGTTTTTTTTAGTTTTATCTTATCAATTTATAAATAATTACTCGCTGACACGTAAATACATGCTTAGTGATAGCGCACATATAATAAATTGAGGCGTGGAAGTACAGAGAAGCGGTAACAATCATAAAAAGCTAGATAATTTTACGTTTAATAGCAGCGCACGTCATGCCGAACAATATTCTAATGCGTCGGCTTGTGACCCTCTCGCCAACGTAGTGTTAAACGAGAAAGGAACTTGTGGCTACTGTGGACTTAGCTCCAAGAAATGGTATTGCTAGGGTTAGAATACCCCTAGGTGTATTGACGTTAGTCACACAGCCTGGTCGGGTTATTGTGGACTTAGCCACAAGTTCCCATCTCGCTAATAACACTACGTGGCGAGAGGGTCACAAACCGACGCATTAGAAATATGTTCGGCAGTACGTGCGCTGCTATTTAACGTTAAATTATCTCACTTTTTATGATTCTTACAGCTTCTCTGTACTTCCACGCCTCGATTTATTATATGTGCGCTATCACTGAGCAGGGTTCTCCCTACGTTGCGCAAACAGGGCGCGCGCGCCCCGTTTGGGAAAACTCCCCCCTGTTTGAATCGTTGCGCCCCGTTTGGGAAAACTCCCCCCTGTTTGAATCGTTGCGCCCCGTTTGGGAAAACTCCCCCCTGTTTGAATCGTTGCGCCCCGTTTAAATTACCTCCGCCCCGTTTAAATTCCACCACAATAAAAGTTTGCCAGCGCGGGAATCGACCGTCAAGAATTCGCCGTTCGACCAGGACATCCGACGCGTGTATTTTTACCGTACCACGCATGCACTGCAGACAGTACACAAGTTAACCTGACAATGCACAGTTAACCTGTCACTAACTGTACACCGACTCGGCTATCTTATATATACAAGCACCCCAAATACCGTCTATGGTGTGGTGGCGATTTTACGCATTAATTAGTCGTACGGTAAAAATACACGCCCCCCGGACCCCCCTAGTTATTTCTCTTTCATGCACTGATATTATCCACT